AATATAAATTAGCATGATTTAGATTTTTTATCATCATCTGAACTCAGTGATATCCTGTGATATCATTCAGTGATATCAATAATCTTAGATTATTGAAAAGAATTCACCTACCCAAATTTTGCTGGAAACAGTGAACATGTGTTTAACAAATCAGCCTGAATCAGTATTTTCATTTCTTACTGAAGAAAACAGGCTCCAAGAGAGCTGATTGGAAAACACTCGTATTTTGTAGAAATATATATATATATATATATATATATATATATATATATATGTAGAAGTAAATTTATATAAATTGCTAGAATTAAAAGTAAGTAGAAAAAAACAAAACAAAACAAAAAAAAAGTAAGTAGAGGCTTTAAAATGTAATAATGATGCTATGAAGGGTTACCTTTGAAGAGCTGAAATTTTAAAGGCACTCTTTAAAATAATAAAATTAAGGAATTAGAGGCTGGGTGCTGGTAGCTCACACCTGTTATCTTAGCTACTCAGGAGGCTGAGATCTGAGGATCTTGGTTCAAAGCCAGCTTGGACAGGAAAGTCCATGAGATTCTTATCTCCAATTAACCACTAGAAAAACAGAAGTGGTGTCATGGCTCAGGTGGTAGAGTTCTCTCTCCATTAACTTAAGAGCTCAGGGACAGCACCCAGGCCCAGAGTTAAAGGAAGGAAGGAAGGAAGGAAGGAAAGAAGGAAGGAAGGAAGGAAGGAAGGAAGGAAGGAAGGAAGGAAGGAAGGAAGGAACGGAGGGAGGGAGGGAGGGAGGGAGGGAAGGAGGGAAGGAGGGAAAAAAGAAGGAAATTAGAAAGTGCTAACCTTCCAAAATGTGCAAGGATTCTTCTCAAATATGTGGATATTTTTTCCCTGTAATCTAGATCAGACTATTACAATTACGCCAAGAATGATAAGTGATTTTCCCAGTTACACATAAATACTTTTGTTTCTAGATTTTAGTTTCAATTCTTTTTCCACTCAAAACAAAAGCATAAGCTGTCCATTAAGGGAAAAAAAGAGAACACTGGGGTTATGCAAGACAGCTGCTTCTAATCATCATGTCTATTGATATACAGTTAGAAATTCATTTCTCTAAAGGAGAAGAATCAATATTTATAGAATAGCTGGATTTCAAATGTATGGTATTATGGCTGTACTGCATCTTAACTCAAGCATTTTACTTGTGAGCAGCAGGCAAATCTGTTGCTGGTGATAATGGGGTGTACTGTGAAGACTGATTTCTGCTTATATCAATTCATTTCAAAGGATTTTCTGGGACAATCAGAGTGGCTAAGTCTGAAACAGACCAATTACTAGTAAAAATTGCCTTAGGCTTTAAGGGCCTACTGAGCCTTAAAATTCCATGATTCTACAGTACTAGCATCTTTAGAAAGACATCCAAATAGATATTAGAATATATTATCTAACTCTCTTTGAAAGTCCTTCTCTTCTCCATTTATATATCTATTGAGGAGACATAATCAGTCATTGTCAATTCTTTCAATGCTGTCAAATGAGAAATGGCTGTAGGCCAAGACAATTATGACACATACAGAATATAAAATAATGTCACATAACAGTAATTCACACATGTAGCTATTCATTAATCCCATTTTAAACTTTCTATAAATTGGAGGTTATAAGAAATATTAAAATCAATACATGTAGAAGTAACCTTATTTTATGTTTGTGAACTTCTGTATTATGCTGCTTCATTAGACAATTTTATTATCTGCCTTAATTATGCTTTTAAACTTTTGTAATTAGCCCCAGAGGGTAAGATTATATTACTGTGAATACTTACAATTAAAAATAATAAAAACTTAAGCACACAGGTAAGCCAATTGAACTTTGTTCCTGATGGCAAACTCAGAAGAGTGATATTCTAGGCCTACAGAGATCTTCACCTCTCTTTACAGTGGATCTTTAACAAAAGGATGAATTAGATACAAAAGTATCCCTTGGAAGATTCCCCAAGATAGCTAGACATCAGCACAGGCCCAGAGTTCAGGTTCCACGACCGACAAAAAAAGAAAAAAAGTATAAATCTCCTAACAAAATATGCTGGATAGATTACCATATATACAGAAGTGCATCTAAAAAGAATGACGATTTCCCTAACCATATCTTACTAGAGAATTCAATATAGACCTGAATTTTTCATAAATATTCATGTTTATTTCATGCCACATAAATAATGGTTAAATTTTTATCATAAAATGACAGATTTCTGACTTTAGGAATAAAGCCAACTTAATGTGTTTTTAAGTGACTTGAAACTTGCCTAGGGCTAGAATGGCTTTTGGGTACCTAGCTCTTGTTTCTGGCCTACTTTTCTTCTTCTTTTTCTACTGAGAAGTGATTGATAATTTGTGTATTTGTTTTCCTCCTTTGCTCCCTGGCTTAGCAAACTGATTCCAGTATATTCAGTAATGTATTCAGCATATTCTCCAAAGGTCTGAGTTTTTCCAAAATATCTTCTTAGATTTAAATAAATCTATTAAATAATCAATAATCTTCCAAGGGTTATTCAGAAATTATATTCAGAAATTATAATCCCAGAATACAAATAATGTATCTTGCTAAGCAACAAAAAGTCATTAGTTCCAAAACAATTTTACCATTAGACTCTAAATGTAGTCATTTCAATATAACAGAAGAACTAATTCTGCCTTTTTTTCTTTTTTATTCAGTAAAAATTATAAAGTATGTAATTTGGAATAAGGGAATAATAGTTTATGCCAATAGGACATTTAAAAACTACTCCCCTAATTTGATGCAAAATAAATCAAAAGGCCTTAAAAAGAAGGCTGGAATCAAAGTCTTTTTAACTTTGTCTTCCATCCTGGCCCTTTTGGTCACTTCTCAGGGACAAACTTTCTACCAATTCATCTGTACCACTCATAATTTGGATCTGTCAAAGGTAAAACAAATACCTCAGGTCTCTTACCTGAACCTTAATGAATTAAGCTAATAATGCAGGAAGACTGAATTATATATGTCAACACCACACTTACTGTTACACACACACCTTTGTTACATAATTTTAACCTTGTATCTTAATCCCATAGTCAGGCAAATCTATTGCATATTCCTGTTCTGCAGATCCAATATAGTTTGTCCTAGGCCATTGCACAGTCTCAGATTTCCTTCAATTCCCTAACAATCATTTCCTGTCCTACTGAAAGTTTCTGTTCTATATTCCTTCTATACTGTACAGAAACACAGGTTGGCTTAGAGAGTAATCTCATTCTTAGGTTTATCCCACATGCTGCAAATTTTGCTTTTGCATGTTAATCAGTATGCATGTATGTTTTTCTCCTATATGTTCTTTGTCAGCTTATTCTAAGGTAACTTCAGGGACCTGAGAAGAAATCTCTCTTTGTCCCTAACATAAGGTCACATTTTCACAAATAGTCACAGTAAATGACATTTTATATGTCTTCATGGTTTCAGTTATTCTTAATAGCCCACTCTTCTTCCTGAAAGTAAGTTGAACATGATTGCACAGAAGACTTTCTTCTCTCCATTACCTCTCAGTTCTTATTTGAGTTTATATATTTCAGTAAGTGATGATTTGAATTAAAAAATATCACCAAAAGGAAATGAAAAGGTTACATAAATGTCACTGCCTTGCTGCAATTTTATATGTTTCTGTTGAACTCTGAACATCTGTACTGGATTTTTTACTGTGCAGAGAAGCACATCTATTTGTGAAGTTTTGTTTCTTGTAATAGCTTTTGAGAAGAGCCTTGAAAATGAGTGGAAAAGTCCTTTCAATCACAGATTTACACATATAATGTCCTCATTTTTCTTCCTTGTGTAGAATTCTTGGTTTTAATTGAAGGTGTTTATTGCCTTTTCTTTTCTTCATACTTGTCTATAAAAGAATTTAATTGCTTTTATGTGCATTTTCAGAAATCATGTTAGAATCCATACTGGTTTTACTAAGCCATTTAATAGATTGTATTACAAAAATAAGATGTAGGCCTGGGCTTTTATTGTTCTTATGTGTTTCATAATAATGACACTGTTCATCATGAAAGCTATGTGTGAACTATCATTAATGTAGTATTTCAGATTATCATGGCAACACAGTTTGTGTAAATTTGTAATTCAGACTCATCTATCCTTATTAGTTTTGGATGTCATACTGTGTTTTTGTTTTTTGTTGTGTTAGAGATACAGTCTCACTGCATGACAGTGAGCTACACTTGAACACATGATCTTTCTTCCTCATTCATACTTTTCCTTTCTTTTTTTTAAAAAATATTTCAATGTGTTTGGCTTTTATAAGAAAATGAATAATGTGGCTGCAGGAGAAATCCTAGAAAAATCATAAAGAATAATATCATTAATAATTCTGTTTTTTTGTAGATAAAAATTTTAAAGTAACTACTGTGGGAATACTGAGAAAAGTCTGAAAACACAGAAAGGCAGAAGGGAAAGAATGAAATTATTCAACCCTATCACCTAATGATTGCTTATATTTACTTTTATTTTTAGATATATTCTCCATGTAACTACAGTAGGAAGTCTTCACTTAAATGTATTAAAATAATTTACTATGCATTATTCTTCAAAATTACAAATTTTAATATTACATAATTTTGTATTTTGTTTGCATGTCAACTTATTTAACATTCCCTACTCAGATATTTAAGAAACTAGACCAGAACAAACCATCATATTTAAACAGACACATGTTTTTTTTCTACAATTGACTTGATAAGTCTTAAGTATTATACCTAAGAATGTCTATATATTAATGGAAAACAGAAATGAGGGTAGAGGTAGGCAATATTTAGGCATTTAAGATAGAGAATAGTTAGGCATTTAAGATAGAATCTTCATTTTAGATCAACTTTCCCAAACAATCTTTTTGTAAACACATGGACCTAATTAATATGCTGTTAATTGAGTAGTATGGTAGAATAAGAAAACACACAGTCACCATGTTCAAAAATTTTCCCTAATAAAGGAAGAAAAATATAAGAATTACTTACCTGGAGATATGATATAGAAGAAATCTTTAAATTCATCCATCCAAACTTCTGCCAATCTCCTGTTATTCTTGTTAATCACATGACCAGTGCCTCCAGGAAAAGTATATGGAGTTGCCTTTCGAAAAACATGTCCAACATGGGAGCAAGTCACAATCTCCAAAGAGCCTCCACATTGCCAAATCTGGGTAGAAGAATAACCATTATTCAACTGTCATTAAAAGTAAGGCAATAGTAACAGCTGAAACTTTGGACACATGCTTCAAGAAAACATTAGCTATATGAAAATTTAGAACGAGCATGTATATATTTGGTCAAAAAATACTATTTTATTTTATATAAGGGATGTAAGCATCCACAGATTTTGGTATCCCATGAGAATATCCTCATGAAACCTGAAAATGACTGATATATATCCATATCTATCTATCTATCTATCTATCTATCTATCTATCTATCTATCTATCTAGATAGATTTACCTGGCCCCCACCTCTCTACAAACAGAATTTTTGTATATTTACTACAATATTTGTAATAAAAGCTATTGTTATAGGTACTTGAAAAACTTAATTTAAAACTCGATCATTATTCTTATTTAATAGAATCGCTTTTTCTAAAAACGCCTCCCATAAATATGTTTAATTTTCATATTTTTATGTGTTAGTCAAATTTTTTTCAGAGAAAAAATATTTTCCAGTTAATTCCCTTCAAGTAACATGTAGGTTTGAAGTGTGCTGCTATTGGCCATTAATATCAATTTGTACCATGAGTTGAAATATAATAGTAGGTTACACCCATCCCATCAACAGTAACATATGCATCTCAAGTACAATCTGCTTTCTCATTTTGTAATTATTTAAGCATTATAATAGAAAAGTGAAGTAGAAAAGACATATTAAATACCAAAATATTAAAAAAATGAATAGAATTTACCATCACTGCTCAAAAGACAGAACAGCTTTTAATAATAAGTGATTCACAGACTGGCAAGTTCTTCATTATTTTCTGGCATGAAATCTATATGACATCATACAATTATATATTACTTTCTACATTCTCCCTTCATTAAAATGGAGAAAACCAATATTTTCTCACTAAAGACAAATCAATATTTTATATATTAGTATGGACCCCATCCTATCTAATTCCTTAAGGCCAAAATCTAAGTCATCATCTTGCTTTTTCCCTGAAACATCAGTCAGTCCAGTCTATTATTTTTCTACATATAATAGTTTCCAAAAAAAATCACCCATTCCTGAAAACCTGCAAATACAAATGAAATTTTTTAAAAAGAATTCTCAATTAGACATCATTTAGTCCATAGCCACACCCAACACCTGATTTTACTTCATTATTAAATACAACACATCTTACTAATAATACAGGCAGTTATTTCTCTTCTATTACCATTATCCACTTTTCTACCCTCTGAGAAATGCGGCTGCTTTTCTGTATAAAGTTTTCCTGCATAAATTACACACTGCACTCTTTTCTTGGATGTTCCACTTTTCCTCATCCTATTTTATTTTTAAGAATTTTTATTTCCCCCAATTTTTTTTGCTAAATTTCTATTTAAATGTTTATCTCCACCACTGTGCCTTCTTACTTGTTCCTGTAACTGTAAATGGGATCTGAATGCTGACTACCTCCACCTTAGCATCCCAGACTAAACCTCTTCTCTGCTCCCAGATAGCTATAGTGACACGTTTGTTTGAAACATCCACTTGCCTTTGCCAGTTTGACCATGGAGGAGTAGTGTCATTATCTTTTCTCTGTTAAGCTGGTCTTGTTTACTGTTCAAGAATTTTATTTTATTTTATTTTATTATTTTTTTGTTGGTCGTGGAACTTGAACTCTGGGCCTGGGTGCTGTCCTTGCGCTCTTCAGCTCAAGGCGAGCGCTCTACCGTTTGAGCCACAGCGCCACTTCCGTTTTTCTGATGGTTTATTGGAGTAAGAGTCTCACGGACTTTTCCTGCCCGGGCTGGCTTTGAACCACGATCCTCAGATCTCAGCCTCCTGAGTAGCTAGGATTATAGGCATGAGCCACTGGCGCCCAGCTAGGAATTTTTTAATTGTTAGTAAATTATGCTCAACATTCTCTCAGATGATCAATCATACATACACACACACACACACACACACACACACACACACACACACACACACACACACACACAAAACCAAGCTAGGTCTCATGGATTGTTATCTTTCATTATCACTGATATGTAATCCTTTAACAAATCCTAGTAGTGTTACCTAGGAAATAATTTTCTGAGTGTTCATATAGTCAGAGTGCTGTGATAAAATAGCTTAAGTGAAATCGTGTAGTCTACCTAGAATATCCTTACATGATACAAACAGTGAAAGAGTTCTAGTGTTGCTATCTCATAGGAATTCCAGTCCTCTTGGATTAGAGTTCTATCTCTGTGACCCCATTTTCTTTGAAATTCTTAACAGGCTCAGTCTCCAGATACAGTCCAAATGGAGTGTTAGCAATTCAGCATATAAATTTGGGAAACACAATTCACTCTACAGTTCCATCTCTGTTTCCAATGCCATCATCCCTGACCTAATCAACACTTCTTGTGTCAGTTACAAGAGTCTCTTGTAACACTGCCTTCCCTGTTTATCTCCCACGATTTATTTTGTGTTGAGAAATCTGAATAATATTTAAAAATTTTTCAATTTAAATTTTAAAAAATTTAAATCATTTTATTTACATGCTTAAATCCTTCAATGGTTTCTCAGTGAATTGTATATATAAACAAAATCCTTTTTCATGTCCTCTAAAACCCTACTAAATATTTTCAAACCTCTGTCAATAGACATGGCAATATTAATTCGCTGCCAATTATTGCTTCTTGGATTAACATATTACATGCTTTGTCACACACAAGAGCCTCAGCACCTGCTTACTTCGAGTCTGCATTACAGTCATGTCATTGCTTTACCTTGGTTGCCTCTTTCTCGTTCTCTCAGCTGAATCATAACCTCCACTGAAAGGGCACCTCTAATTTTCTTATTTAAAGTAACCCCACCCAGTGATTTTCTCTAACAGCACCCTGTTTAGTTTCTTCATTGCTTATCACAATCTGTAATCTGGTTATTTGTATGCCAATGTACCTTGTTTTTTTTTAATTAAGATGTAAATGCTGGCTCCCACATTACTGGAGAGATGTCTGGTTATTTTTATACATCCTTCGAGCCAAGCCCAATACTGTATACATAGTAGATACCACCATACATTGCACGACTGGACAAATGGGCAGTGTAAGATTAACTCTCAAGGTTAATATAGGGGGAAAAAACCCTGGAAGAATGGCAAGATTTAAAAATATATGTTGACAAGATTTTAAGTCATATATATCCTGTGCATGCACACATGCCAGCCCCCAGCACTTGGTGCTGGCCTTGAGCTTTTTTGCTCCCAGATGATGCTCTACCACTGGAAATATAGCCCTACTTTTGGCTGTTGGGTGATTAATTGGAGGCAATTGTCTTGCAAACATTCCTGCTGGAGCTGACTTTGCACTGCAATTCCCAGATCTCAGTCTCCTTGGTTATCTTGGATTGAAGGCAGGAGCCACCTGTGGCCAGCTTTAAAGTTTTTTTTTTAATATCAAATGAATACTTTTTCAATTTCTAACACTTTTAGAGGTCTATTTTTCTCCTCTTTGTCTCATTCAGATACACACACACACACTCACAGAAAGAAATTGAAGGTTCATAGAAAATAAGATTATTGAGTAATTTGATCTTAACTTTTAATGTGTTATCCAAAATAACTATTCATGTGACCCCGCATTACCCTTTGTCTTTTTCTTCTGAGCTCTTCATCTCAAGGCTAGTGCTCTACCACTTGAGCCACAGCACCACTTCTGGTTTTCTGGTGTGTTTATTGGAGATGAGAATCTCATGGACTTTCCTGCTTTGGCTGTTTTTGAATTTTGATCCTCAGATCTCAGCCTCCTCAGTAGCTAGGATTACAGGTGTGAGCCACCAGTGCTCAGCCCTTTTTCTTTTTTCTTAAAAACATGATTTAATAAAGTACTTAGACATTTGTACTGTGACCAGGCCTTTCCAAGTAGTGCTATAAATTCAGAAGAAATAACACACGTCCTTTTGTTATTATAGGGAATGCAGTACTATTGAAAGAAGGCTTTTCCTTTCCTCCTGTGGATTCCACTCTGTGCAGGACTTTCTTCTTCACAAGCTGGATAGTGGAGGTAAGTAAAGGAAAGAAGATTAGCATTTTTCTCCCAGGTGAATTCTAATTGATCAACAAGTAATCAAGCTACCCTAGTGCTACCACTAGATTGGGGTAGAATGTGCTCACACAATTCTGAAGAAAGCCTCACGAGAAGGGAAAGACATATCCTTAATAAAATTTGGACAACTTCTAAATCTAGAAAATTGTGGTGGTGGGATTAGATTTTATTGTTCCAAAAGAATCGATAAGCCCAATGATTCATTTTAACTTCACTTGGCTTAAGTGGCTTCCTTCCAGGTATCTGTGCTCATTCAAACATGCATGCTACCTTTTTTTTTAAAGGCAAAATTAAATGATCAAGCTAAGAATGCATAACCACACATTACTAAGGGCTGATGTCTAGTCATAATACTAATAGGCTAATATAAAATATTTCATCGATCATTAGTTGAATAGATAGTTGCAATGTACTTAGTTTCCTGGGAAATGTGACAAAATTGAAAACAGTTCCTGGAAAATTATATGATTAAATGTAACACACTGCAGGAAGTCAAAGTGATGTTTCTAGTGACTAACTTGATAATTTCCTTCAGTATACCTTCAGTAAGCATGTTAATGGGAGGTAGAAGAGGAAAAAAGAAAATATCTAATAATAGTAATTAAAAACTTGAACTATAAAGATAGGGGTGGTGTACACACTGTAAGCTCAGCTATGAAGTAGGAGAAGATGGAGATGATCATAGTGGGAGACCAGCACAGGCAAAAATATAAGACCCTAAATGTAATCTAAATAAACCAAATAGGGATGGTGGCAAAGTTTAGCTGGTAGAGTATCTATTTGCTTAGCAAGGTAGAATATCTATTTGCTTAGCAATTTTTGTGTTCTGGGTATAAATCCTAGTAAACTTTTCCACTTAAATAAAACCTTAAAACCAAAAAAAAACCAAACACCATTTTGCAGTATGAAACAA